TCAGGCGAGCTCTGGAGAGTGGTATTCCAGATGAACTTGACTGTGTCGCCAGCGTAATTTCTGTGCGGAAGGTAGAAATTACGCGGGATGAAACAATTCTGCTGAGAGGCGCTCCAGTACAGCTTGAGGTGCTGCAACGAGGCTTTGATGCTGTTTATTCGGGGTGTGTAGGTTTAAAGTGTTGAAACTCACCTGGTTGTGTCACAGACTTGCAACACGTGAAATCATCGTATGTGAAATCTAGTAATAGAGGTTACCTAAGAAAACAATGGGCATATAAAATTTTGATGTAGGTGAAAGTTTCTCTTTAAAAACACTGTACTTTGAGTCCACCTGGAGGGAGCTATAGTCCCGTGGAAGTCTACAAGGAACTCTCAGTCAGTTTAGACTTTTCAGAAAGAGAATGGACAAGACTTCTGAACTCTATGCCTCTGTGTCTCCAGGGTGGAAAGCTCACTTCTCTTATTTAGTTAATCAGCACGTTTACTGACATCAGGCATAAGCTCCACCAATAAGGAAAATTATGGAATAAATAGTCCACCACTAAGCACTTTCTCCCTCGCTGCCCAGAACAATCTCTGTATAAAATTATTCAATGAAAGAAGTACCTAATGCCATTGAAACTGAGCGGGACTCTGTGGGGCCCTCCAGGGCACAAGAGCCTTTCCGTGTCCCCCGTTTCTTACTTGCAGGATAAAGGCTTCAGCCTCCTAGACTTCCCTGAGTTCCAAAGAGCAGACTGGACAGTTGCTAATCAGGGAAGTCAGGGGAGGCAGAAACGAAGGAGGAGCAATCAAGAAATGACAGTGCAGCTATTAAAGCAGGATCTTGGCTCCTAGTCAAGGGACGCACATAACAGTATCTTCGAATTCTTCTGCGGGAACTAAGGCCCCCACCCTGGTGGAGAATGGCAACTTCAGGCTAAGCACAAGACACTGGCGCACCCCAAATTTTGCCTGTGAAAACTCCCCCTCCCCGCCGAAAACCACTGGGGAGTTCCGGTTTTTTGAGCATATAATAACAGATAAACAACAAGGATTTACTGTACGGCACATGGAACTATAATCAATATCTTGTAAAAACCTATAATGGAAAAGAATCTGAAGCTGTACACCTGCACCTAACACAATACTGTAGATCAACTGTAGTTTAATAAATTAAAAAAAAACAGAAAAATAAAAAAATACCCTCTGGTTTAAGGAGCTGTTTCTACAGCTGTCTTCCTGCTCGTTTCTGAGCGTCCTCAGGGGAGAAATAGTTTCCTACTTCTTGCTATATCCATAATATTACACAGTGCCTGACACATGATACCAAATCTCATTTGTTGAGCGAACAAATAACTGGATGGGTGGATGGATGATGCATGTACGTACGAATGAATGAATAAATGGTGACTGAAAGTTGGCACTCAGGGTCAAAGGAAGAAGGAAAGCAAACCAGATTGGAGTAATGAAAACGAACATGGGTAGGAAATCTTTGTGCAGCATGAGTGTGTTTTGAAAAATAAAGGAAGACAGGTCAGATAGATTGTTCCATGATGACGGTCACCAAAAATTGCTCTTATTTGAAGACATTTCCTCTTAGTCATTAGGAGAAAATGGAGATCAGCTGGTCACGGTCTCTCCCTTAAAAACCCTTCGGATGTTTGAAAACTGTAGCTACTTACACAATATATGTCTCACTCCCAGTGGTGTCCCCGGCACTTGGCACATAATAAGTGCACAATGAATACTGCTAAAAGAACAAGTCCATGATGTAAGCGTCCTCTTTCTCACAGCCTTAGCAGTGATCCTCCCTGGTCCATATGTGAAGCTAAATTTCAGATTTCCAAAACTTGCTTTCCAAATGGACCCTGTCCTGAACACAGATGATTGAATTAGAATTGCTCAGGCTCTGGGTCACATTAGATGGTTATTAAGTCAGGCTTGATTACATACGAACCTTTAGGTGCACAAACCATTCAGAACTGTGAACGGAGGGTCTCCCATGCCCATTATATCTCCTTTTCAGAATACAGCACGAAACATAGTCAGTCTGCCAAACGCTCATCTGAGCATCCCACAATTCAAAGCAACAGCAATGGTCAGTATTATTAGCATGACGTTGTGGGTGTGTGTGGAGTTCCCTGTCCCAAATTTTTGACTTATTTAAAGTCTGATTTAAGTCTGGCCTTCACTTCTTGAGCTTCAACTCAAAAATAATCTGATTAGGGAGGATTCTGCCTCCTACTCACATAATCTTTCTTTTCTACCAGTCCTGATCTGATTTAAAGAAAATTCTGTCCCTGAATCGCTATTAGTTCTTTCCACCAGCACAGAGCGCTCCTGCCTGGTTTCCATACTAAAGCCAGACGGACTTCTCCCTGCTTGAGACAAGGACCTTGAACCACAACCCATCCCTGGGACCTGGACACCTCTGCCTCTTCCCCTTGAATTGTCTGTCTCCTCCCTTCAAACCTTCAAGGTCTTCATTCCTGTGATAGTCTTCAGACTAACCACATCCCAATTCTAATCTCCCTCTTGCCTTGCCTCCTTCTCTCCAGCTGTGTGCCCTTCGACACATGCTGTCACCCTGTTTGGTGGATTTCAAATTTGAGAGCACAGACTACAACTTCTATTTTCTTCACAGACTTCACAGCACCCAGGTCAGAGCCATGAAATCCCAATACAGTGCCGACTGACTCCGACTTCGGAGGTGATTTCCTCCGCATCACCCCCATCCCGCCCCTTTTATCAGACCTTGAATTTGCTTTGCATCTATTGCTCCATTGACTTTCCCCAGGTCAACTCTGGTAATTATATTTTCAACTTCTATTCAGGGTCCAATTATAGGACAGTGATTTTTTATTCATTTTTATTTTGGGCTGAACTTCCAAACAATCCTTGCTACTTGCCCTTTGAACTTCATCCCACAAGGCTTTCTGTTGTGAAACTCCTAGGTTTGGAAACTCAAGAGTGCCCACATTGTACACTTTGACTTATACTCTGTCCATCTGCTCCACCAGGTCACATGGTAAACCTACATCCTTGAGGACCGTCTTCAGGCTGGAAACACAGTAACTTAGCATGACTGCTTTCCACACTCTGCACACATTGAAAATCTACAAGCCAACTGTTTATCTGTACTAACACATGCTTTTCCAAATGAGAGTCATATTTTTTAATGACACTTTTCTGTGCTTCATGCTTTTTTGACTAGTTTTCTTGTCTTTAGCTCTATTTAGTTCTCGTTAGTTTTGTGCCATGCGATTTAGCCCCCGTTTTTAGATAACTTTTGTATCTGAAATACTTAAGGCCTCTTGCACTATACTAAGTTGTACAAGTTACAGACAACCATGTGTTTAGATAAGGATCTCGGCAAACAGAAAGAACCTCATGAAACCACCCCATCTTCCTGCTTCCCCTCGGAGGGGTTACCCTGCGGTTTCTAAGTCATGCTTTTGGCTTCATAGCAGGAAGGCACCAGGAGGGCCAAGCCACCTTCACAAATCTTTACCTAAAACTACAGATAAATTTAAGAATCAAGGATGAGATTACTATTGATCTGTCTTATAAATGCTAGTCTGGTAATTCAGGATATCCATTAAAAGAATCATGCCCGTTTTCAAACAGTTCCTCAGAGGTAGTGGATAGAAGCATCAATTTGACTCCTACCTGTTAATAAGCCCATTTGGACTATGACTTTTCAACAGATGTGTTACTTGATTTAATCACATTTAACTTTGCTTATTACTCGGTAGATGATGCTTTTCCATAGAGGATATTAAGGAGATTCAGTAGTTTTAACTTGGGGCTCGACTTGTCCCTTTTGTCCCTGTCCGACTGCATACACACACATCACACCGTGCACATGAAACACGTAACACATTCACACACATGCACGCGCACACTTTCTCCCTTAACCCATGATTTTTTTTTTACTAAATGAGGATGCTTGTCTAAGAATCACAGGTGGGTTCAGCCTTTCCCAGTTTTGAAAAAGAGGTCTACAGACCCTCACTTTAAAGAGAGTGGACAGCGTGACCGGTATAAGGATGATGCCCAAAAAACAGAATCCTGCTGGTAGTTACCATTTGTTACTCACTTATACTTGGTGAACTTAGATTTTGTACTAAATAAACTCAGACTAGAGCAAAGCCCCTTCTTTTAAACATTTAGACTTTTGGTCAAACCTGGGCAGAAAGTAACATATCTGTCAGCACTGATTCTCAAACACCCTCTCAAACTTTTTTTCAAGGATCTCACCTCCTGTAAAGAAGTAAGTACTCTCACCCCTTCTTAGTTTGATCACAGCATTAAGATCACATCTTGAGAACAGTTTAG